TCTATCTATCTATCTATCTATCTATCTATCTATCTATCTATCTATCTGTTTTTTTCTGTATTTATATCTATTAGGTCATGGGCAGAGTACAAGAATGGATTTGGAGAGCTAAGTGGAGAATTTTGGCTCGGGAATGACAATTTGCATTACATCACATCACAAGGTCAATATTGTCCGATTTGTCCGATTTCATCTAAAGGTTTACTAAATTTATTGTGACAGTATAAGTGGAGTATTCGTGGTATTTTTTTATTTTTAAAATGAGCAGGAAAAAAAAGACAAAAAAACTTAATTACTAGTTTTGTTCTAAGTGTCACTCATATGTAAAATAAATAACTGGTTACAGGTTTTTGTGTTTCCCTAAAGTGAGAAAAATAAAGATTATTTTTTGATTAAACTTGTGTTACAGAATCATTTCGATGTGTTGATGTGGATTGTTTTTTTGTTTATCTTTCTGTTCTAGGGAATTATTCTCTTAGGATCTACTTAGAAGACTTTGAAGGCAACCAGCGCTACGCAGAATACAAGAACTTTAAAGTAACAAACGAAAAGGTGATAATGCTGAACCTAAAATTTAAACAAATGGTTGGGTACTACAGTGGACAGGGTCATTTCTTTTGGTGGAAACCTCCAACCCCACTGCAACCCCACTCGGAATAAGTGTTATAGAAAATACAATAATTAAAAGATACAAGGTTTTCATGGTGGAAACATTCTTGTGCATGTTTTTTACAGCATTGTTTCCAAATGGTTAGGACTGTTGCCACACACAGCAACCTGGTTTGAATCCACTGCAGCCTTTTTTAGGCTTAAATTTTTCCCTGTGTATGTGTTGGTTCTGTCTAAGTACTCTGTCTTTCACCATCAAAAGACAAAAAATTGTTATCATTTGTGACATTAATTTGTTATTTTATAATTTCCTGTTGGAGTGACTTTGAGTGTCCATGGGGTTGTAACTCTATGTGGTCCTGTGATGAACTAGCGAACGTGTCTGGGATGTACTTCACCTCTTGCCTATACATCTTGGATAGGCTCCCATGACCCTACTTGGAATAAATGATGTAAGACAATGAATGGATGGATGGATTAAAGTTTCAGTTCGGTGCTGCCAATGAAACAGACTTGATTTTTTCCCCCATCACTTTAAAAGCAGGCGTTGTCTCAATTTGCTGGTCTTGAGAATTCATGAATGTGCTATCATATTAATTTATCAATTGATTTGTGAGTGAGTTGATTAGTTCATGATACTACAATTGGAACAAGTATGCCTTCCAAAGTATCTTCATTCTAAAAAGAACTAGGCAGCCTGGCATAGGTTTGCAAATTTCTACCTTTACAAGACCCAAGTGCAGATGTTTGATCAGAATGCAAAGCAGCACAAACACCTCCTACTGACTGACAGGCACTGTGATGGGGTGTTGATGTTATATTGACTTAGTTTTAAAATAAAGATGATTTCTTGTCTTCAGGATCACTACAGACTTAGCTTTGGAGCTTATGTCGGGACAGCAGGAGATGCTTTGTCTGGAGGCCATCAAGTTGGGGTTTCAGAGTGGGCCAGTCACCAGGGCATGAGATTCAGCACCTACGACCAAGATAATGACATCTACAGAGGAAACTGTGCCCAAGAAGACAAAGGTGGCTGGTGGTTCAACAAGTAAGCTTTTACAATCAGAAGGTCCATCTGTTCATCTACTAAACTTACACATTGATGCAATATAGATAAATACAGCAATAGTCCACCCTCACCTCCTCCATCTCCATCTGGTACGCTGCTGCCACTGCTAAGGACAAGGGCAGACTGCAGCGTATCATTCGCTCAGCCGAGAAGGTGATTGGCTGTGATCTGCCATCCCTTCAGGACCTGTACGCCTCCAGGACTTTAAGGCGTGCAGGAAGGATCATGTCTGATCCTTCTCACCCTGGTCACAAACTCTTTGAAACTCTCCCCTCTGGCAGAAGGTTGAGGACCATCAGTACCAAAACCTCACGCCATAAAGACAGCTTCTATCCAGCAGCAACTGGCCTCATCAACAAGACCAGTGACCCCCACCTAGTCTTCTCCCACCCCCCTCTATCTCACTAATTTACCCAATGCTTTCAGCATTTTCTGGTCTGTTGTTGCAGATCAACATTGCACATCTCAACTGTTAATTTGCACATTCGGATCTATATTTTTAAAGATTGTTCATTTGTACTTTCAGATCTATATTTTTAAAGGCTGTATTTTTCAGTTTTATCATTTTCTGTCCTATATTTTTATTTCTACATTTTATTCTTGCTTCTCATAGAAGTGTTGTGTTGTGCACTAAACACCAAGGCAAATTCCTTGTAAGTCTAAAAACCTACTTGGCAATAAACCTGATTCTGATTCTGATAAATAAGTAAAGACTGCATCTCTCTTTCTCTCTAGGTGTCACTCTGCTCATCTCAATGGGATATACTATCCAAATGGGCACTATAGTTCTTCAACAGACGATGGTGTAGTTTGGTACACTTGGAGAGGCTGGTGGTATTCGCTGAAGACCACAATCATGAAGCTGAGACCTATCACCTAAAAATTGATCAAATTAATGACCCCAGGATGATTCCTCACAATCTAACTTCCTGGATCTTGGCTTTGGACATAAAACTACTCTCCAACCAGATTATACTTTGTTGGGCACATTCAAATTGAAAACATATACTAATGGAACTCATAACCTGTAGTTGTCTTAAATTAAACAATGACCTGTTTGCTCACTGTGCACTCAGCCCCTGGTGACAGGCTCCTGATAACAAAGTCCTCTTTTGTGTTATCAGGTTGTATCTAGTGGGAACAGAGTATCAACTTACTCAAGGAAAAATGTATGTCATTTTTACAATTCTAAAACAAGCTTGAGGTCTCTTGAGCGACAATCAAGCATTCTTTGTACTCTATAGTTTACGCCTTACTTATGTTTATGAACTCATACTCTTACATCTTTATAACACTGCCATTTAATAAATTATCATGATTAATGAAATAAAATGAGTAAACACTTCATGGTCATTCTGTGTGAATACTGGCTACACACTACTACATTACTGTATCATACTTTAAGAAATTGAATGTCCATCCATCCTGGGGGTGCTGGAGCCTATCCCAGATGACAACAGGCAGGAGCATACTGCCCAGGGTGTACCCTGGACCATTGGAGGGCCACACATTTAAATGTCTTGTCTTTGATTATTTTTATCAGTTAGTGCAATACATTTTGCCAGCAAAATAAAGTTTCAAGTGTGACATAAAACTAAATCACTCTTATGTTGTGTTTCTTCAATAACCATGAATAAAACTCCATATTTTCTTTTCCCTGTCTAGCCACAGGCATGTCAAAGGATGTTAAGAATCTTTGGACATGGTGTTTTATAAAAATACTTGACAAATATGCTGCTTTATCAAGGTCTAAGAATAGGCCGGCAACTTCCCAGAGACCAGTTTACATTTAGAAATTCAAGATACCAAACTAAATGCCAAAACCTCACGAAGTACAGGACAGCAGTCTTGTACCTCCACGAAAACAGGAAATATGTTTTACAAATAATTGGATCAAACAGCAAAAGTCTGGTGTATGTGTAGACAACACATTTCATACACAGGAATTAGGAATAAATGAAAATTTTAGAGAACTGTTACACAAAAAAATCTGGTTCCTTGGATGTAAAATACAAAAATGGAGCAACACCCTTGAACAAAATGCATTTACCAGATTCTCTTTACAATGACAGTTGATGAATGTCATCATTCCATACACTTTATCATAGGAGCACAGCTAAAAGATTCTGAAGTTGTGAACAGGAACTATTTCTTGAAGAGGAGACTTTTTTTATTTATCATACTGTTAAAAAAAGTGTTTTGTTTTGATCGGGGTAAACTAACTGTTAAAGCCCTATGCCTGGCAGAATGCATTTTAGAACTCTTAATCATAATCAGAAGACTATGAAGAGCATTTTGTCGTACCAGTGTGAATTCCTGCAAATGAAAATACAAAAATTACAACAACCTATGCTTTTTATTGTGATCTTTTAACCACATACAAGAAATGGGCGGAATTTTTCTGAGTCAGTACATGCTCTGAAATAAATATATCTCTTTTGACTATAGGCCTGAGTTGTATGTGGAGTATATGCCTTCTCTCTCTCTCTCTCTCTCTCTCTCTCTCTCTCTCTCTCTCTCTCTATCTATCTATCTATCTATCTATCTATCTATCTATCTATCTATCT